TGGTGGCTATAAGATGTTGATAGAATTCTTTAACCAATTCGGGGTACGTATCCCCCTTGATGGTGAGATATGTATCTAGGAGACCTTGGTGTTTAAGCACATCAACCAATTCCGGAGAAAATTGGTCGTGTTCAAGGGCTTTACCTCCGATTACGGTGTAATCGGCGTTGCTCCACTCCGGGGTGCGGGTTCCGAGGGGCTTTTTCGGCATTTTCTTTTTCTTTCAAGTGGCGTTTTCTGGCGAGTGCTCCGGTGGTGTGACTTTTCCGGCAACTTTTCCGGCGGGGCTCCGGCGGCGCGTTTTTCCGTGCGGGCAAGGTGGGCGGCGGTGAGCTGTGCTCCGACGGCGGCTTGGCGAGGGGAGGAGGTGGCTCGGCAAGGGGCGGTGACGGGTGTTGGGCGATGCGTGGCAGCGAGCGGCGGCTGGGCGTTCGCCGGGCGAAGGTGGCGGGGTGCTGGTGTGGCAGCGTGGGACCGGCGGGAAGTGGTTGGCCGGCGGCGGCGTTAGGTTGGTGGCGGCGTCGATTGGTTGGGGGGTTTCTCCGGTGGGGTGCGGCGAGGGGCGTGAGGGTGAGTAGGGAAGGGAGTGGAGAAGAAGAAGGAGAAAGGGAAGAAGAAGAAGGGTTTTTGATTTGGGGATTTTGTGGGTTTTAGGGATTTGTAGGGGCTTTAACAAGGGAGTGTTCCCTTAAGGTTTCAAGAAACATTCATGGACTAGTGGTCAGAGTCTTGGTCATTTAAGTGGAAAGTCAAGAGTTTAATTCTCATTGGCAACACTAAGCCCTATGATGATGGGGTCCTTGTCTTTTTCCTTCTTCTTTTGTCTTCTAGTGGTGAGACTTGGCATTATTTATAATATCTCCGAAGTAATTAAGCTAAATAAGTAGTTCTACCACGTGATTACAAGAAATTGCCAACCTAACCTAGACATAATTCGTCTTCTTGGTTTTCTCCCACGGGGTCTGCGTGGTCCTCGTCTTCTGGGGTTGGGTTTCCTTCCTCGAGGTTGTTCTCGTTCCCGAGGTCCGCTTGAGTGCGGCTCATGATGAATACTTTTCCCGGAGCGCCGTAGTTTCCTTGATGAGTGGTGCCCCCATGTTGTCCCATGGTGGTAGTGCGTGGTTTCTGGGGTTGGGCGCAATGGAAGGCCTTGTGTCCTTCTTCTCCGCAGTTGAAGCATCGCAAGGGATTGCCCATGCAATCTTTGCCTCTATGGTTCTTGTTGCATTTTGGACAAGGAAAGCTCCTATCGTTGTTCCCCAGGGGTGGCCTTTGGTTGGTCAGGTTACTCGGTCTTGTATTGGTGTCGTTTCTTGCTCTCTTTACTGGTGGTGCCCCTCCTCCGGGGTTCCTCTTTCGTATTTGCTCTTGGACCCCGCGTTGGAGTAGTTGGATTCGGTAGAGATTAGCGGCACTGGAGTAGGCCTCGTTGAGAGTCCGAGGTCTGCTTACCACTAGTGCCTTTCGGGCTTTAAAGTTGAGGCCCGATACGAATCTTTCTATTTTGGTCACCTCGGTGGGGACTAGTTCTGGTGCGAAGCGTGCTAGTTCAAGGAATCGTTTTTGGTATTCCATAACGGTAGATGCCCCTTGTTTCAGGTGGAGAAACTCTTCGTACATGGATGCCCTCACGTGTGTTGGATAGAATCGCTCTCGTAGTCGCGTTTTGAGTTGTTCCCAGTTGAACCCCGGTTCTTGTTGGTAAGTGGGACCCTAGTGGATCCACCAGAGATCGGCCTCGTGTCCGAAGTAGAACGAGGCTATCTCCACGCGGCGTTCTTCTGGGCATTCCACTAACCCGAGAATTTTGTCAAGGGTTCGGATCCATTCCTCCAGGATTACAGGATCCTCTTCTCCTGAGAACGTGGGTGGTCGATGGTTAGAGACTTGTCGGGCGAAGTCTGTGTTTGCGTTTGACAGAGGTGGTGGGGGCCTGTCGTTGCGGAGAGCCACGTCGCTTAGTGCTTGGGCGACTTGTGTTAGTTGTTGTAGCGTTTGGGTTAGGGGGTCGTGCGCGGCGGGTTCTGGAGTCCTTGATTGTCTTCTGTTGGGTGCCATGTTGTCGTCTTCCTGGGTCAATGTTTATAAGAACGTTAAATTGGGGCTTGATGTCCCTTTTTGTGATAACGGGGGAAGTTTTCTCCAGGTAAGGGAGATTATGCGTAGGTTTCACAATCTCACCGCGTGTCCTAAGATTCCTGAATCCTATGTTCCTAAATACTTAGAGTTCAAGCCTATTGTCCTAAAGTCCGGTCTTAAGAGTCTTGTCCTAGGGTCAACTTAGGCTCTGATACCAACAGTAACACCCCAGATTTTCAAGATATTTAAAACTTATAAAATAAAGGTGAAATCTCATTAAATCCCAAATTACGATACAAAGAGTACGTGGTGCTATGCCACACCCGAGCTAGAGAACTCAGGTGCACAAGCAAAATTCTAAAACCTCAATCAGTATCAATACTAAATCATGGCACGCAGGCCGACAAGGGAAACTATCTAAGCTATGCCTCAAGCTTCTAACGCGCTCCAGTGATCTACTCGTCTGTGTCTGAAAGCCAAATATATCTGTTCAGCGAGAGATGCTGGTAACCCACTCCAACGTGTTGAAATACAATACATATATATATATATATATATATATATATATATATATATATATATATATATATATATATATATATATATATATAGATATACGAAAACCATTTTTGAACATGAAGATATATCCTACGAACTCTAGCTTTTAAAACAGGGATAGACTCAACAAATAGAGCTAAGCATAGACAGCAGTTATACCCAGCATATATGGTTCACAACAGCCAAGACAGGTAAGATAAGCACAATTAATAATCATAACTAAGCATTACTAGCAAGAGCCTTATAACAGTCACAACATCAACCCTTCTTATCTCATCATATAGCACACTTTGTTGGCGCCACAGGACCAATCGCATGCCCATACATGAGGGTCAGCGCATATAGCTCTGACACGGCCCCGCAGCACCCTGCCCCGTCTCACAGCACGGAGGGGTCGATCGCAACCGACCGATGAGCCGCAGCTCTATATAATATTTATATACCTGACCGGTCTTTACCAGCCTGGTTAACAGTTGGGATGGTTCTCAACCCATTCAACTGCCCGTATAGTGGACCTTTGTCCTATACAATATTTATATACCTGACCGGTCTCTACCAGCTTGGTTAACAGTTGGGATGGTTCTCAACCCATTCAACTGCCCGTATAGTGGATCTTAGTCCTATATAATATTTATATACCTGACCGGTCTCTACCAGCCTGGTTAACAGCCGGTATGGTTCCCAGCCCACCCGACTGCCCGTACAGCCCGATTGATCTCAACCCAGTCGGGGTAGCATGCACACATAACATATAGCAAGCACATGAAACCCACACTAACACATTGGGAAGGGGGAGAAAACGTATAACAAAACCTATGCGTGATCCTTCACATACTAAGAATAGTCCTAAGGGGTTCACACTTCTTTTACCTAGGTCAACGGGATACCAATTCAACTAGCATGCAATATATAAGACTCATACGACCTACGAATGGTACCCGAAAATCCAACTAGACATAGGCACGAAAGACGGAGTCCGTTGGGACACCACGAGGGTCGGGGGAACATCAAACGGGGAAGCCGGGGTCCCAAAGTGGGGGAATTTCCAGCGGGTAGCCGGTGGGTGGGGATTCACCCGCCGGCTGCCCGCCGGTATGTACTGTTCCGGGCAGCGGGAGCCCGGCGGGCAGCTGCCCGCCCGCCAGCTGCCCGCTGCCGGAGCTCCTCTTTTGGCCGCGGGTACGTGGCGGGTCCCCTACCCCCCCACTGACTCTTTTCACCAAAAACGCCCCGGGAACCTTTATGGAACCCGGAACCATGCTTAGACGTTTTCAAACGCAATTGATAACACACGTAGACAATTAACGGATCGGAATCAAGAAACAAACGGCACATAACCTATCATGCTTTTCTAAACATAATAAACACCCAATCATGCGAAATCCCACCCAATATACCAAGAATAATACCATACGATACAACCTAGGGTTCTAACCGTTTTTAAATTAACAAGGACACAATTCATCTTTTAATATAAAGATTCGGTAAGAATATCACATAAACATCAAGAACATCCTACAATCATTAAGAACATCATATAATCGTCAAGAACGTCATATAATCATCAAGAACACCATAATTACCAAGAACCTTTCGTCATCAAGATCACCCATGGAATTATCCCATTAATCATCAATAATAATAATACAAATCATCAATACACAATAATATGGGGAAATCCTACGGGGGAAATCATAGCTATGAAAATAGGTTTTGTTGAGACATGGGTTACCTCTTAGCCTTAACTAATTCCTTGGCTATGAAGGGTCTTTCTTTAAGCTTTCTTGCTTTCTTGATTTCTTCTAAGGGAATTCTTGGAGCTCTTTGGGGTGGTGGAACGTTTATTGTGGTGGCGCGTTCTAGGTGCCTCTTAAGTCCCCTATTTATATATTTAGGAGTCCTAGTTAGGAACTAATATTATAGGCTTGCTAATTCTATTTCTTTTGGCACTAAGGATTGGGTTTAGGGATAAGGGCCCGTGGACTATGGTGGGCCTTTCCTAATTAATTATTGTGATTTAATTCTTTCTTTTGGGTAATTGATTAAATGATTTAATTGATTTTAGGGGTCGTAACACGGGGTGTTACAAGACCTGCCCCGAACAATGAGTATCCTAGTTTGGAATTGTCGTGGGCTTGGGAACCCGGCGTCAGTTCAGATTTTAGTGGACCTGGTCCACTCCAAGAGACCCAACATTATTCTCCTGTTGAAACTTTTGCGGGCCTAAGTAAGCTTCAGTCCATCAAAAATAAAACGGGCCTTTTAGGCCTCTTCAATGTTAACAATATGGGCCATAGATGTGGGTTAGCTTTGTTTTGGAAAGATGATACCGATGTGGAGATCAAGTCTTATTCGATGCATCACATTGACGCAGAGGTCTATCTAAGCGTCGGTGGGACCAAATGGAGATTCACCAGATTCTATGGAGTCCCGGAAAGACACAGGCGAGCTGAATCACGGAACCTTTTGAAGCACTTATCTACTGTCAACTCTCTCCCTTAGGTAGTTATGGGTGACTTCAATGACATCCTTAGCCCAGACGAGAAGAGAGGGGGCAATCACCAGCCAAGGAGACTTATCGAAGGCTTCTCTGACGTAGTTGAATGTAGCGGACTGAGTGATTTTCCTTTTCAAGTTCATCAATTTACATGGGAACGATCTAAGGGCACAGCGAACTGGGTGGAAGCCAAGTTGGACCGAATCCTCGTTTCGGATTCGTGGCGCGACTCATTCTCTCAGGCGATGGCTAGTTCTATTATTGCCACCAAGAGTGACCACTCGCCCCTTCATCTCCAATTACTTACTCCGGATATTCCCACTCCCAAAGGCAGGTTCCGGTTCGAAAATATGTGGCTCAGGGATTCAATTTGTAGAGAAATAATGATTCAAAGCTGGGCTCGGTCTCGTGGTTACCACCTCCTTGACAGAATAGGCACATGTGGAAAGGTGATTTGGAATTGGAGGAAGAATTTTGCTAAAGACTTTAATGGCCGCATATCTTTCTGGAAATGCCGTATGGAGATTACCAAACACCAAAGAGATGCTGAGGGTATTTCTATGTTTAGAGAAGCCCAGCATCAATATCTTTATTCCCTTCGTCAACAAAATGATTATTGGCGTCAAAGAGCCAAACAATTTTGGCTGAAGGAGGGTGATACCCACTCAACCTACTTCCACAATTCAGTTCGCAGACGCAGGCAGAACAACCGTATCGATAGACTCAAAGGAGAATATGGGACCTGGGTTGACAAAGGTACAAGTCTAAACTCTCTAATTACCTCTTATTTCACCAATTTGCTGCAACCTGATGATGTTAATGTACCTTACCCTACTGAGGACATTGTGCCAAAAATTTCCGATGCTCAAAACTCTGTCCTGTGTAGTCGTGTGTCTCTCCAAGAGGTGAAAAATGCCCTATTTGACATGAAACCCGACAAGTCCCCAGGACCCGACGGCTTGAGCCCGGGGTTCTTCCAAAGTTTCTAGGATATCATTGGTTCTAAACTCCTATCCTTTTGTAACCAGTGTTTCCAATCTGGTAAACTCCCGAGGGGTCTCAATCTCACTCGCATCGTCCTTGTTCCCAAAAAATCCAAACCTGAATCCATGAGTGATCTCCGACCAATTGCCCTTTGTAATATCATGTATAAGCTTATGTCAAAAGTCCTAGAGAACATATTAAAACCCCTACTCAATCACTTGGTGTCGGAGTCTCAAACTGCCTTTGTCCCAGGGAGGCTTATAACCGATAATACCATGATCGCGTATAAGCTGAACCATTATCTTGCTAGGAAAAGGCAGGGCCTAACTGGTTTTGTGGGAGTCAAATTGGACATGAGTAAGGCCTTTGATAGGGTAAATTGGGGGTTCCTATTAGCCACACTTGCTAGAATGGGTTTCTCTTCTGTCTTCATCAACCTTATTAGGGAGTTAATTTCCACTGTGGAGTTCAGAATTCTCTTGGAGGGTAGAGAGGTGGGTGTTGTTTTTCCTAAAAGGGGACTTCGTCAAGGAGACGCAATCTCCCCATATTTATTCATCCTCATTCTAGAAGTCTTGCACACTATGATTCACAGGAAGATTTTGGAAGGGGAAATTCATGGAATCTCTATTGCAAGAGGTGCCCCAGTTGTCTCAAATCTATTCTTTGCAGATGATTGTTATATATTCTGTAAAGCTTCTTATTTTGAAAGCCTTGCCCTTCGCAATACCATTGATACCTTTGCTAAGGCTTCGGGCCAAACAGTGAATTATGATAAATCTACCCTAACTTTTAGTAGGAATGGACTGAAGACACCAAGAGTACTGTTTGTGCAGTTTTGAGCATGAGGGAAGGTAATATGAGTGGCAACTACCTTGGTTTGCCCTCTTTGATAGGTAGAAACAAAAGACAAATTCTGGGGTTCATAAAGGATAAAATCTTGGGGAGAATCAAGAGTTGGACTCATAAATTTCTATCTAGAGCTGGAAAAGGAAATACTCCTTAAAAATGCCATCCAAGCTATTCTCACCTATGCCATGAGTGTATTCCTCGTACTTTCAGAACTTGGAAGAGAGATTGAAAGAGCCATGAATGCCTTCAGGTGGGGATGTGAGGGGATAGAGTTAGAGGCATTTGATGGAAGAGATGGGAGACCCTCTGTGTCCCCAAACCTTGGGGTGGTCTGAATTTTAGAAAAATCAGCGACTTTAACATTGCTTTGTTAGGGAAACAAGCTTAGAGATTACTACAATATCCTAACTCTCTGTTATCAAAAGTATACAAGCTAAGTACCATCCTTCCTGCTCTTTTCTGGAGGCAAACCTTGGGAGTAGCCCTTCATTTATATGGCGTAGTATCTTGGAATCCCAATCCATTTTAAAGCAGGGTTATAGATGGAGAGTGGGAAATGGTTCATCTATTAATGTTTGGAAGGATCCTTGGCTTCCTAACAAGGATTTCCCTTTTATTCATTCCCCTATTCCAGATTCTCTTGAAGATATCACTGTTGATAAACTCCTTAATATTTCGAAAACTGATTGGAATTTTAATCTTCTTGATGCCATCTTTGTTCCTGATGATGTGAAACTTATTAGAAACATTCCTATTGCAGAGGTTAAGCAACATGACAGGATTATTTGGGTTAAAGATGATAAGGGTGTTTACACAGTAAAGAGTTGCTACCAGAAACTTCAGGGTACTTTCCTCACTGATCAGATCCCCTTCCGGACTAAGGCATGGAAACTGAAACTCCCCCCAAAGATAAAGACCTTTTTCTGGCAACTTTGCTCCTCAACTTTACCCACTGTGGATCTCCTAAGATTGAGAAGAGTCCAGGTATCCCCTATCTGCCAGTTATGCTCTAGTGCCGAAGAATCTGCATTTCACCTATTTGTTAAATGCCCCCTTGCCATTAGTTGTTGGGATCATATTGGTTGTGTCACCCACCTTGGTCGTTCCTCTTTAATGGGCTGGTTGGAAATCAATTTCAAATCTCTATCTGCTAATGATCTTTGCCTTATGATTACTGTATGTTGGAAAATATGGAGTGCAAGGAATGGTAAAATATGGAATCATACAATTACCCCCATGCAGGCTATTATCAATGAAGCACATGTTTTTCTATTTGATTGGCAGAATGTGAATTCATCAACCCCCCAGGCTGGTAACAGTTCAGCTGAAGTTGTCAAATGGTTGAAGCCCCCTGATGGATGGTATAAACTTAATGTTGATGCTGCCCTTGACAACAACAACTCTAAGATGGGTTTTGGTTTTGTCCTCCGTGATTCTAATGGTCTTTTCAAGGCAACAGGTATGATTCCTTGGCAAGGCCTCCACGGACCTGATGAAGCAGAGGCAATAGGGATCCGTGAAGCTCTGAAATGGCTGAAGCTACAAAGTCTGGATCGAATCTGCATTGAGAGTGACTGCGCTAAAGTTATTCATGTTATTCAGTCTATTTCTGTTGTTTCTTATTTCAATCTCATACTGCATGACATTCAGAACTTAGCTAGAGATTTTAGTAATCTTCTTTTTGTTTGCTAAACGATTTGCGAATAGGGTCGCTCATTTACTTGCACGGGAGGCCTTATTTAAGACTGATCGTTCGGACTGTTTCTTAGGGGAAGTTATGCTGTGCATCCGTATGCACCATGCATGGTGCATACGGATGCAAAAACGACGTCGTTTTATTAAAAACGCGCGTCTCTCCTTAAAAAAAAAAATGTCAGGTTCGATTTCCAGCAACAGCATTATGTTGTTAATTCATTCTGGAATTTTAGTTCATAGATTATGGAATTTTAGTTCATTGATTCTGGAATTATAGTTCATCGATTCTGGAATTGTAGTTCATCGATTCTGAAATTTTAGTTCATAGATTCTGAAATTTTAGTTCATTCATTCTGGAATTTTTAGTTCATAGATTAGATTCTAGAATTATAGTTCATCGATTATGGAATTATAGTTCATCGATTATGGAATTTTAGTTCATATGTTGTTGCTGGGAGTCGAACCTGAATTTTTTTTTTTAAGGGGAGATGCGCGTTTTTAATAAAACGACGTCGTTTTTGCATCCGTCTGCACCATGCATAGTGCATACGGATGCACAACATAATTTGCCATTTCTTAGTCCCCTATCGTTTTGTTGTTCACGCTTTGGAGCTTGACTCCCTTTAATATATTTTGTTCGTTTTTCTTCAAAAAAAAAAATAAAAATCATAGCAGTAGGCAAATTATACCATGGATTAGAGTCTACCTTGCATTGTAGACTCTGATTCAAAATAACCATCAAATTATGTATTTGAAGTTGACATATTCTATGCGGTTAACAGTTTGTAAATAAATTGAAGATACGGGGTAACTACAGACAGGGACGGAGCCAAAGGGGGGGGAGGGGGGTCAACTGCCTCCCCTTCACCCCATCCCGACCCCATATATAATTTTCGTATGTATATATGTATATATAGTATAGGTTTTAGTATTAGTATAAAAAAAAACTAGTAAGTGTCAACAAGTAAGGAGTTAGATTAGTTGGTAATGCATGTGTTTGTTGCCCCCCTCAATCCAATTTCTGGCTCCGTCCCTTACTACAGACACATAATACGTTCTTTATATTGTGTCTACAGTTAATGTGTACCATGTTAGGTGCCTTAATATACTTACACACATAAACTGTTAATATGTTAAGTGTAGACACATGATAGGAGCAAAAGTAAACATGCATTGTTCAAATTACAAACTAGAAGCATTACAGAAGAATGAGACATTAACGCAAAGAAAAAGGAGCTGGTTAGAAGTAACCTTTTTCCAAAGAGGGCTTGAAGGAAACACTGCTCATTGATATCCCTTTGGCTTCAGCTATTGTATCCACCATCTCAAAACCAACCTGTATTAATTATCCAACACATTTCTAAGTTTCTAGCCTCTAGGCTGGGAAAGGGGTTCTAGGTTACGAACACTGTGGCAAGTGCCGTTGAACCGTTTGCCAGGATTTCCGAGGCCGACAATGAGCCAAGGCTGGGGCTTTGGCTTCGGTTCTCCTGTTTGGCCTCCAATGGAGTCGGCGAAGGTTGACCGGCTGCCGAGGTAGACATTGAATGCGAAAATTGAGGAGTAATTATCATTAGGGACCTTCTCGTCAAAAAGTTGGGGCGTGGAAATCCGATTTGAATTTGGACACTGATAATCAACTAAGCATTCAAGGGAATGGAGAATACGACGACGTTTTAGTTTCTGGTTGACGAACAATAGTGCAAAACATCGTTGCCGAGAATTGAACCCAGGTCACCCGGGTGACAAGCAGGAATACTCACCACTATACTACAATGACTCAAATGCTTGTTGTTATACAGTTATAATACAAATCTAATTCCAGTTCTGAAGAAGTTGATGAACATCGACCGACATATTCAGTCTTGTTTCATTTTTAGAAAGCATTTTGGTAGTTCAAAAATTGGATGTGGCATATTGTTATTATAATCAAATTTTATCTTAACAAAATTTCTATAGCATAATTTTTTATTTGAGTTAATACTAGATGTAATCTTCAATTTTGATCACTTTTTAGATTTAACTCTTGAAAAAGAATCTAATTACATTTTGTTAAGGCGTCTTCATAATTGATTTTTTTTTTCCAAGTCTTTTTTCTTAGGTGTAATAGGGAGGGGGAATTGGAGAGGAGAGAAGAGAGGAGAGAGAATATTTTTGATTGTTTTGCATGGGTTTTTGTAGGCCTCATTTAATATAATATAATAATAAAAAAATAAAATAAAAAGTGCACTAATGCGTGATCCGTTAGCTGGTAAGATAGTTGTTAGCTAATAGCTGATAGCTGTTAGCTGATTGTGTTAATTAGAAGGTATAAATAGTTGATAACATTAGCTGATTGTAGAAAAATGTTTGGTAAATTAGCTGTTAGCTGATAGCTGTTTGGTATAATTTCTTTTCTCAAAAAGCTAATTGAAGAAGTTGCTTGGAGTAGCTTTTTGAATGTTAGCCTTTTAGAGTTGTAAAAAGCTAATTAACCAGACATTTATATTGATATTTTAACTACATCAAACAATTAATAGTTGTCAAATAAGCCAAAATTGACCTATAGGTCAATATTTTACCAAACAGGGTGAAAATTTGACTTGTTGAGATGGGCAAATTAGGTTTATAAACTTTAATACATTGGGTTCATCATTAGTGAGAATGTAAAATAAAATAAAATTTTACATTATTACTCTTAAATATAATATTTACTAAATAGTTATTTAATTAGATAATCAAATTTGGAACAAAACCAACAGCCAAGGTACCATTTTATGGTCAAATTAGAAGTCGATGATGAAAATTGATAAATGTCAATAATCAAATAGACTATTTATGGTCCAATTCAAAGTCAGGGATAAAAATCAATAAATATCAATAGTCAATGAATCATTCATGAAAGAGAAATTTCCTCACTTTGGATCCCACGAGTATGGGACTATTAACACATTTGGTCCCTAAGTATTAAAATTTTCAAATTTGGTCTCATGACTTTTAAATCTCTATCACATTTAATCCTTCATATCAAAGTTCTGGCTACCAGTGTCTATTTTTTCGACGAATGGATTAATCCAAGGGCAAAATTATAATTTTATTTCTTTTATTAAAAAAAGCTAAATTTTTACCCCAAAACCCCTTCTTCTCCGTCAACGCAGCCTCATTTCCCCAAAACCCAACCCTCATTTTCCCCTCTGCGCAGCCCTCTTCCCACATTCTTCTTCTCCTCTTTTTTCCACTTCTTTGTTACAGACCTGCAAATAAGCTCCAAAACACAGAATAGAGGTTGGGGGTAAAGGAAAGAAGGAGGTAAAGAGGTAGAAGAAAAGGGGGTAAAGAGGAAGAAATAGGGTTTATCTCATTGAGAGAAGATTGTCCAAAAGCATAATGATATTCCAAAAAAAACAAAATCCTTACAATAAATAGCAAAAGCAAGCTAAAACAAATCAGAAATATCCCAACCAACTCTCCTTTTCACGCTGAGCATTTGTACGGGAGTTTGTATCAAAACGGCGTCGTGAGAGAGCTCCTCAACTGCTTCCAACGGCTAGCTTCAAACGTCGACGTTTAACTCTTCTCCGCAACGGCTCCAACGACTTCCCTTCAAACGCCGTCGTTTAGGTAAGTGGCTTGTTTATTCGAATTAACCCAAAACGACAGCGTTTTGGTCCTTGACTTTCAGTTTAGAACTAACTTCTGCAAACTACTTCCCCTCCTGATCTTCCACCTTGCTACCAGCCTTCCTCCGTTGGGTTTCGTCTTCTAAAATCATGACATTACCTTCCCCATCACCTGATCCTTGTCCCCAAGGATCAAAATTGGGAAATTGCTTGGTGATGTGATGGTAATCCTCCCATGTAGCAGCCTCTTGTGGTAAATTTGCCCATTGCACCAATATTTCCACCACATCTGCATTATTCTTCTTAATTAGTCTCTTTTGCAGTGCAGCTATAGGATGAGTAAGTATCATGCCCTCAGAATCAGTTGTAGGCAGTACTGATTGTGGTTCTATACCCTCCCCCACCTTCTTCTTTAAGAGAGACACATGGAACACAGGGTGAATTGTAGCATCTCCTGGCAACCTCAACCTATAGGCCACTAGGCCAATCTTCTCAAATATCTCAAATGGACCATAAAATCTTGCTGTTAGCTTAAGATTAGATCTGACTGCCAATGTAGTTTGTTTGTAGGGCTGAATTTTGAGATATGTCCAATCCCCCACCTCAAAATTTCTTTCAGTTCTGTGCCTGTCAGCCTGTTCCTTCATTCTTGCTTGTGCCTTGGACATATTCTTTTTTAGAATGGCAACCATAGCAGCTCTTTCTCTAAACCAATCATGATGTTCTCCTTCTGTGATCACTTTGAAAATTAAGTAAGGGGGTTTGTAACCATACAATGCCTGGAATGGAGAACATTTGAGGGAGGTATGAAAATTGGTATTATACCAATACTCAGCTAAGTGCAGCCATTTCAACCAAGTCTTGGGCTTGTGGAAAACCATACACCTCAAGTATGTCTCTAAACATCTGTTTACCCTCTCAGTCTGTCCATCTAATTGGGGATGATATGATGAGGACATACTGAGCTTCACTTGCATTTGTTTGAAATTCTCCCTCCAGAATCTGCTAACAAACACCTTATCTCTATCACTGACTATATCTTGTGGCAAACCATGTAGCTTATAGATGTTCTCCATGAATAGATCAGCCACCCCTTCTGCTGTGAATGGATGTGATAGGCCAATAAAATGTGCATACTTGGTGAACCTGTCAACTATGACCATAATAACATCCTTACCCTGAGACTTGGGCAACCCCTCAATGAAGTCCATAGAGATTCCTTGCCAAGCTTGTTCAGGAATAGGTAGAGGCTGTAGTAGTCCAGGATAAGCTATGTTTTCTTCCTTGCACCTTTGACACACATCACAACCCTTAACTGCTTGAATCACTTCTTTCTTCATCCCTGGCCAATAGAAGAGTTGACTTAGCCTGTGATAAGTAACTTGTTGTCCAGAATGGCCTCCCAAAGGAGAGTTATGCATTTGTTCAATCAACTTTTTTCTCAGATCTCCATTGTTTCCCACATACAGTCTGCATTTACACTTAATTAATCCTTTCTAAAGGGTGATTTGTGAATCAGTTTCTGTTGAGATCATCTGCTCAGTAAGTACCATTGAGGCCCATTCATCCTCTTCATAACTTTTAAGAATTTCCTCCTTCCAAAGTGGCCTGGCCACTGAAATGGCTCCCAACTCAGCCTGTTTTTCTTCCCCTCTCCTGGATAATGCATCTGCAACACAGTTCTCCGTTCCCTTTTTGTAATGAATGTCATAGCTCAGTCCTAGCAACTTTGTGAGGCCTTTTTGTTGCATAGCTATGGTAATTTTTTGTTCCAACAAGAATTTGAGACTTTGGTGATCAGTTTTAATAACAAAATGTCTACCACACAAATAAGGTCTCCATTTATCTATGGCATTGCTAATGGAGAGGTACTCCTTTTCATATATGGACAAACCAAGGTGTTTAGGCCCAAATCCCTTACTGTAATAGGCTATTGGCTTCCCATCCTGCATTAAAACTGCTCCCATACCTCTATAACATGCATCAGCCTCCACAATAAAGTCTTTATTAAAATCAGGTAAGGCAAGCACAGGTGCTGAACAAAGAGCCTTCTTAAGCTGTTCAAAAGCCACTTCTGAATCTGGACTCCACTTGAAAGCATTCTTTTTCAACATATCAGTGAGGGGTCTACTAATTGTACCATAGGATTTGATGAATCTCCTATAGTAACCTGTGAGGCCTAAAAATCCTCTCAACTCCTTGATGGAAACAAGTTTTGGCCAAGCAGACACAACAGATAGTTTTCTTGGATCAGTTTGTAACCCTTTTTCTGAAATAATATGCCCCAAGTATTCAACTTCCCTCTTGGAAAAAGAGCATTTACTAATCTTGGCCAATAACTGATTTTCCTTCATTAATTGTAACACTTCTCTCAGGTGTTCCCAGTGCTTAACCAATGAAGGGCTGTAAATCAAGATATCATCAAAGAACACCAACACTGTCTTCCTAATCAGGGGCTTGAATACCAAATTCATAAGGGCCTGGAAGGTTGTAGGTGCATTAGTTAGGCCAAAAGGCATAACATTAAACTCATATAAGCCCTGGTGTGTTCAAAAAGCAGTTTTGTATTCATCACCCCTCTTCATTCTTACTTGATGGTATCCAGATCTTAAGTCCAACTTGGTGAAAATTCTTGCATTAGCTAGTTCTGAGAATAAGTCCTCTATCAATGGAATAGGAAACTTATTCTTAGTGGTTATTTCATTCAGGGCCCTGTAATCCACACAAAATCTCCATGTGTTGTCCTTCTTAGGAACTAATAGAACTGGTGATGCAAAAGGAGAGGTACTATGGGAAATGATACCAGCAGTCAACATTTCATCCACCATCTTTTCTATTGCATTCTTCTAAAGGTGTGAGTATCTATAGGGTTTAGAATGCACTGGTTTAGCTCCTGGAATTAAAGGGATACCATGATCCAAGGGTCTTGCAGGAGGAAGGTTTTTAGGTTCTTCAAAGATATCCTGAAATTCTTGTAATATAGAATTAAGCTCAGGATGTTCCTGTTCTATAGATTCAGAAGGATTAAGACCATAGATCATGCCTTGTAGAAAATATCCTTGCACCCCTTCCTTCTTCCATCTCCTCAACTCTTTTTTAGAAGCCTGCTGCAACACAATCTTCTTAGTCAGGCCCTTCAATAGTATCCTTTTTCCTTCTTTATGGAAAGAAATTCCAAGGGGTCTTGTATGCAGCTGAATAGGTGCATAAGTGTCTATCCAGTCCATGCCAAGGACAATATCACACCCCCTAACCTTAAAACCCTCAAGTCCTTCTTGAATGGCTCATTCTGCACACACCATTCCAAGCCTTTACAAATTGAATCACATTCCATGATCTCACCATTGGCCACTGTGACCTTAAGGTTCTCAGCCTTCTCAGCAGTAATTCCCATCTGATTCAACACCTTGGGGTCCACAAAGCTGTGGGTACTCCCACTATCCACCAAAACCACCACATTATGTTTGCCAATTAATCCTAGCAGCTTAATAGTATTCATGCCTTCTCCTCCTATCACTGCATTTAGGGTCACTTCCACTTCCTCATTCTCAAGTATATCCTCAGTTTCCTTCTCCTCCATTTGATCTCCCATACTATCCTCTTCTATTTCTTGACTTTCAACCCCTTCTAAAATATTAAATGTAGGGCCCTTGCACTTATGTCCAGGGCTCTATGGATCAAAACACCTATAGCATCTGTTTTGTTCTCTCAGCTGGTCTCTGAATCTAGTGTTCTCAGGGGACCTGGCATTGGACTGTAGGGTATTAGAAGATGTGGTTTTAGATGGTTTTTGTGGGGTTTGGGTTCTGTTTGGCTCATTTGGTTTAGGTGAGTATGATCTGGGGTTAGATTGTGTTCTCTGGCTAGTGAATGGGGTTCTCTGGTTGTAGGGTGATCTAGTGGGGTTAAGGGTGGTGTTTTTGGAAGGGTCACTCACTCTCAATCCCTTCTCAAACTGCCTTGCAAGCCATATTGCATCCTCCAAGTTTGCAGGCCTAGAAGTCTTAACAAAACATCTAAACTATTGTTTCAATCTCACCACAAAGCTATCCAAAAAATATTGGTCAGTTAATGTGGGATAACTCTGCAATAGGAGCCCCTTAAACTCCTCATACTTGTCAGAAAACTCCACCACACTCCCCCATTGTTTGAAGTTGGAAAACTCCTCCATTACATCTGCATGGTTATCACAAAACCTTTTGCAAATAGCCCTAGCAAATAAGGTCCATTGGAACCCTTCCCTCAGACTATTTAAGTAAGTTTCATACCACATAGCTGCCTTTCCAGTTAAGTTAACACACAAAACATGCATCACTTCATCCCTGGGTATCCTAGCTAGCATAAAAAATCTCTCACACCTCACCACCCATAACCTTGGGTTATCATAATCAAAGACAGGAAATTCATACTTATACCTCACTGTTTGTTCACCAAGTTGGTTGTTCAGGCCAGGTCTAGGATTGAAATGAACTCTCCTTGGCATCCAAGGTCTCTCAGCTCGCAAAGGGTGCATGTGGGGTCCATACTGATTCTCTCCCAGCCCTTCCTCATCATTAGACACCTCCTGAGGTTCAGCAAGGCCATCTACTGCAGGTTCCTTTCCAGGCCTCCTGCCTAGGTCAGATCCTTCCTCTCCTGGGCTAGCATGGGAAGTTTGAGCTTGTCCATGGACTGAAGAAGGTTCAGTAGTATGGGGGTTCCTGTTGAGTCGCAGGATCTCCATGATTTCATCCTTCCAAGCTTGCATATGATCCTTCAACTCCTTATTACTGTCTCTCATCTCCTGCCTAGCCTCTGTAAGGCTGCTATTAGTTTCTAGAAATAAGGTTTCCAGCTTGGACATCCTTTCTTCCATGGCTGCTGATGCTGTTGTAACCATGGTGGGCTCTGATACCAGTTGTTACAGACCTGCAAATAAGCTCCAAAACACAGAATAGAGGTTGGGGGTAAAGGAAAGAAGGAGGTAAAGAGGTAGAAGAAAAGGGGGTAAAGAGGAAGAAATAGGGTTTATCTCATTGAGAGAAGATTGTCCAAAAGCATAATGATAATCCAAAAAAACAAAATCCTTACAATGAATAGCAAAAGCAAGCTAAAACAAATCAGAAATATCCCAACCAACTCCCCTTTTTCACGCTGAGCATTTGTACAGGAGTTTGTATCAAAACGGCATCGTGAGAGAGCTCCTCAACTGTTTCCAACGGCTAGCTTCAAACGTCGACGTTTAACTCTTCTCCGCAACGGCTCCAACGACTTCCCTTCAAACGCCGTCGTTTGGGTAAGTGGCTTGTTTATTCGAATTAACCCAAAACGACAGCATTTTGGTCCTTGACTTTCAGTTTAGAACTAACTTCTGCAAACTGCTTCCCCTCCTGATCTTCCACCTTGCTACCAGCCTTCCTCCGTTGGGTTTCGTCTTCTAAAATCATGACATTCTTATTCTATTTTAACTAAAGAAGAAATTCACAAAAAAGAAGAAAAGCGAACATGTGTTTATTGATAGAAGCAAAAATTGAACGAATCTGGGTGTCTTCTTAAAAATCTAAGATCCAAAGCTTAGCAATAAGAAAGATGAATCCTCTGCCAATTGAATCAATTGGTTCGCAATATGGTAAGTTCATGAGATAATACTTAATAGAGTATTTGTTTATGGGTAGCTATTATAGTGTGTATGTATAAGTGTTCGTGTAGTATGTATATATAGTAGGTAGTAGTATTTTTGGCTAGGTAATAATATGCAGTAGGTAGTAGTATTTCTTTCTTTATAGTGTTTGTATAATGGTGTATACCATATTAATTATCATTTAATTCCATTCTCTTAAACAGATGTAGTTGTGGGTACTTCAATATTTACTTTAGACTCATTTGAGGTAGGTGAAAGTACTCACAATGAATTTCCTGACTATGAGAATGGCTCAAATGATAGTACTACAATTAGGGATGATACAAACTATGCTAATGTCCAGGCTTTTACTCCTTGGGACAAAGTCTTTGTTGAACCAAACTTATCTGAGGATACATCTATAGTGGAATTAGAGTCTGATGGAGATAGTGAAGGGGGTAAGTGGCCTACCTTTAGGGCAGCTACTGAGATGAAAGACCCTACATGCATTTACTTTACTTTAGGAATGACTTTTGCTAGTAAGCAGGAATTCAAGGAAGCTGTTCATAATTATGCTTTTAAAAATGGAAAAGATTTGAAATTTGTCAAAAATGATAAAGAAAGGTTTCATAGTTAAATGCAAAAGTGAAGGTTGTCCATGGAAAATAAGCCTTAGAAATGTAAAGAATTCTTTGTCTTGGAGGATTCTGGGTATTAAGGCTAAACATGATTGTTGTGCTTGGATGTTTGAGAATCAACTAGTTAATTCTACATAGGTAGCCAAGAGTTGGAGGAAATAAATCCAAGTTCATGATGAATGGAAGATGAAACATTTTAGGAAGAAGTTATATATGCAGTGATGAGGGATTCCATGTGTCTAAAAGGCAGGCATATAGAGCACTTGCAAAGGCTAAGAAACTAATGCAAGGGGATGAAGAAGAAAATTTCAGCAAGCTTTGGAGTTATGCGGAAGAAATTAGAAGAACTAACCCTTTGTCAACTTGTGTGGTGAAGTTGAGTGATTTCTCTGAGCTTAGTGGACAATAAAGGTTTCTAAGGATGTATATATGTTGGGAGGGGTGCAAGCAAGGATTTCAATATTGCAGGCTAATTGTAGGTGTAGATGGCTGCCATTTGAAAGCTTCTATTGGAAGTCAGATGCTTGTTGCAGTAGAAATAGATGCCAATGATAGTATTTCTCCATTGGCATATGCTATTGTTGAGAGTGAAACAAAGGAAGCATGTTGTTTGTTTTTACAACTGCTAAAAAGAGATTTGAGAATTAATGAAGAATCTGAGCATCTGTTTACATTTATTTCAGATAAACAAAAGGGACTCATTCTTGCTTTTCACATTGTTTTACCAAGAGTAGAACATAGATTTTGTGTAAGACACCTCTATGGTAAATTGGTAACATGAAAGTTGCTGGTTTTCATGGGAAGGCAATTAAAGATGCACTTTAGACTTGTGATAGGGCATATACTATCAACTCATTCACTGCAGCATTTAGACATATAAAGGAGTTGGATATCAAGGCTTTTGAATGGCTATCAGATAAACATCTCAGCAACTGGTCAAAATCAATGGCAGAACCTGAAATTATGCAGGACTTAAATGCAAATTGTGCAAACTTGATAGAGACAAATATTTTAACCCAAGGTGATATGGATTTTGAATTGTTTGGTGATTGTACCCAACTAGCCATATTGGTGTAGACCCACTCCAACTCACAAAGGAATGATAAGGATGACAATGGATACTAGTGATATTTAAATGACAGCACAGATGTAAGCAACTAGTACTGTCATTTAATTAGAGTTTTGTCGGACTACTAGTGATATTTTTGTTTATTTTGACAATGGATATACACGGTAAATTTGTAGTCACTTTGTGTATGCAAAAATGAATACTGTCATTTTGTTTTGAAATGAATATTGCCTGTAATAATGTCAGTGGATATACAATGTAAATTACTAGTGATATTTTTGTTAATTCAAAGGAATATTGCCTGCAAATCATATTCATAGCATTGTTGTTCTTTAGTGAATTTTTTCCTTAGTTACAACATAATATGATAGATGGAAGAAGATCGAAGAATGAGGGATGGGAAAAAGGGTAAGAGGGCAGAGGGGGACTGAGGGTTGGGAGAAGAAAGGGTTTTGGGGGAAAAATTAATTTTTAAAAAAATAATAATAAAAATAAAAGAAAAGAAAATAACAATTTTTCTCTTAAATTAATTCACTTGTCCGAAAAATAATCAGCCATGACTGTGGGACCAAAAGTGAAAATGGTACCATACTCGTGGGACCAAAAGTAAAAATTTCTTATTCATGAAATTAACTCTTGGATTCTATTAGGAGAAATGGAAAAAAAATACTTCAATTGCATATATTTTACATGTTTGATCGTTCAATTATATATATATATATATATATATATATATATATATATATATATATATATATAGAGAGAGAGAGATTATTATCTTAATTGTACAAAAAGTTCAAGTACAACGATTTATTTAACATTTTTATATCATTTAAATAAATAAATAAATAAACATTTCAATCATTTTCAACTCCAAACATTACAACCAGACAGCAAATATTACTGTTAATGTCGTGATTGCAAGGCAACCAGACAATAAATAGGATTCAAAGAATCAGGAGCCCACGACTAATAATCTTAATTGTCATTGAAAAACTTGTGGTGGTGCACTGCTGTGGTAATAACCCTTTTTAACTAATGAATAAATCAGTAAATAAATTAAAAACAATTTATTCACTAATGGCTTGGTCGTCGTTATGATGACATTATATATTGATTGTGGTAAAGGTATCATCAACACATGGAAACAGACAGACAAACAACAATTTCAACTGCTATTGTCCCAACTGTTTCCTATCACATATTGTCGTCATCACCATACCTGCTTCAACTCTTTGACTTTTAAATGTTGCAATGGGGAAGAATGTAGGAAAAAGTTTTGACTGATCCATGAAAATTAAAAAAATAATAATAATAAAGTTAATCAAGTCACCATTAAAGAAAACCAAAGGGAATATTGGTTAGCATTCGTTATACCATCAACTAGGGTTCACACTGCACTATAAATCTTGATTTATGTGGTTGTGTTTTTTGTTATGACTTTTTAATTTGTGTCTTGTTGCATTATGAAATGTTGTACCTTATGAGTATGAATTTTGTACTTGAGACAAATTAGTAATTGTGCATTATGTTATATATGAATGCATATGCCTTGTGTTGTGAAATTTTGTGCCTATGAACATAAATTATATATGTATACTTAAATCAGGTTTGAAAATAAGTAAATATATAACATGTGTATGTGTCTTTTGTTCATGGTTGAAAAAATCACTAGGCGCTCCTCGAGCACCTAGATGGCAATTAATCGGTGCCTAGGCGCCCGTGTATTATTTTTTAAAGATTAAAATTTTTAAGGCTAATAACTATAAACTATTTAATATTTTAATAATTAATACTAAAATATTAAATGTTAACCTAAAAACATCTAGAGTTTGAACAATTTTTGGTTATTTTGCTCAAAAATAATGTCGTATTGAGTTAAATAACCCTTTAAAAAAAAAAGGAGTAATAGCTAATCGACCGACTAGGCGGCCTAGTCGACGCTTAGGAGGCCTAGTCGGCTGCCTAGCCGACCGACTGCTAGACGATCCATTATGGTGATACGCTAGACCGCCGGCCGGTGCCTAGTCCTTAGGCAAGATTTTTGTAACACTACTTGTGTTATGAAATTCTGTCAGTGAATTTTGTACCTCGTTGTTTCAATCCATGATCCATAATACTATGTGAACCCTGGTTCATAATATAAATTGTCATTGATTAGTTGTTATATGAGCCATAACTAATATTTGAAGATCTAACCGCTTTATGAATTTTTGGTGAAATCATTCTTCATTATACCATGTTTTAAAATATATATATATATATATATATATATATATATATATATATATATATATACATTTATTGTGGAATTTTAAATTATTTTATTTCTTCTCTATTCTTAAGATAAAATAATAGGGGTAAAATATAATTTCGTCAAAACATGGTTATTTATTTTTGTAAGGCACGTGACCCACCCAGCCTAATAGCATAATCTATACTATATATAATTACAAAGTTCAGAAATTTTAACTTCCCCGTCCAATTTTTAAAAAATCTCTCTTCCCAATAAAATATAATGATTTCTACTATCTCACTCGTACAATAATTCTGAGCTAAAATTCTATTCTAAAATTTTAAAATAGTGTAATACAATTCCCTTTGTACATCTATACTATATATAATAACAAAATCCTGAAATTTTAAATTCCCGCTCAATTCCTAAAAATCTCTCTTCCCAATAAAATATATTGATTTCTACTATCTCATTCGTGCAATAATTCTGGGTTAAAGTTCTATTCTAAAATTTTAAAATAGTTTAATACAATTCCCTTTGTACATCTATACTATATATTCTAAAATTTTAAAATAGTTTAATACAATTCCCTTTGTACATCTATATCTATACTATATATAATAACAAAATTCTGGAATTTTAACTTCCCGCCCAATTCCTAAAAAATCACTCTATCCAATAAAATATATTGACTTCTACTTTCCCATTTGTACAATAATTCTGGGTTAAAGTTCTATTCTAAAATTTTAAAATAGCGTAATACAATTCTCTTTGTACATCTATCTATATCTATACTATATATAATAACAAAATCCTGGAATTTTATCTTCCCGGCAAATTCCTAAAATATTTCTCTTCCCAATAAAATATATTGATTTCTACTTTCCTATTCGTGCAATAATTCTGGGTTAAAGTTCTATTCTAAAATTATAAAATAGTGTAATAAAATTCCCTTTGTACATCTATACTCTATACTATATATAATAACAAAATCCTGGAATTTTAACTTCCCACCCAATTCCTAAAAAATCTCTCTTCCCAATAAAATATATTGATTTATACTTTCCCATTCGTACAATAATTCTGGGTTAAAGTTCTATTCTAAAATTTTAAAATAGTGTAATACAATTCCCTTTGTACATCAATACTATATATAATAACAAAATCCTGGAATATTAACTTCCCGCCCAATTCCTAAAAAATCTCTCTTCCAAATAAAATATATTGATTTCTACTTTCCCATTCGTGAAATAATTCTGAGTTAAAGTTCTATTCTAAAATATTAAAATAGTGTCATACAATTCCCTTTGTACATCTATACTATATATAATAACAAAATCTTGTAATTTTAACTTTCCGCCCAATTCCTAAAAAATCTCTCTTCCCAATAAAATATATTGATTTCTACTTTCCCATTCGTACAATAACTCTGGGTTAAAGTTCTATTCTGAAATTTTAAAATAGTGTAATACAATTCACTTTGTACATCTATACTATATATAATAACATAATCCTGGAATTTTAACTTCCCGCTCAATTCCTAAAAAATCCCTCTTCCTAATAAAATATATTGATTTCTAATTCCCATTCGTGAAATAATTCTGGGTTAAAGTTCTATTCTAAAATTTTAAAATAGTGTAATACAACTTCCTTTGTACATCTATCCTATATATAATAACACAATCCTGTAATTTTAACACCCTGCCCAATTCCAAAAAAATCTCTCTTCCCAATAAAATATATTGATTTCTACTTTCTCATTCGTACAATAATTCATGGTTAAAGTTCTATTCTGAAATTTTAAAATAGTGTAATACAATATATAATAACAAAATCCTGAAATTTTAAATTCCCTCCCAATTCCTAAAAAATCTCTCTTCCTAATAAAATATATTGATTTCTACTTTTCCATTCGTGCAATAATTCTGGGTTAAAGTTCTATTCTAAAATTTTAAAATAGTGTAATACAATTTCCTTTGTACATCTATACTATATATAATTACAAAATTCTGGAATTTTAACTTCCCGCCCAATTCCTAAAAAATCTCTCTTCACTACAAGAAAAATCACGAATCGCGACGGAAAATCGCGACGGACTATATTCCGTAGCCATTTAGCGACCGAAATTGCGACCGAATGCATTCCGTTGCGAAATTGCGACGGAATAGGCGACGGAATTTTATTCCGTCGAGAATCTTGGCGCAAAGATAAAATAAAGCCCGCGAAATATTGGCGGCAAATTTTCGCGACCGAATTTGCGATGGAAGTAATTTACGTCGTCCATGTTGCGACGGAAAAAGCGACCGATTTGTGTTCCGTCACGAAATGGCGACGGAATTAGCGACCGACTTGATTCCGTCCTTAAATGAATTAAGTTTTAGATTATGGACTAAATATGGCGACGGAAATTGCGACTACCTATATTCCGTCGCAAAATAGTTTTATTAAATTTTATTTTTCTTTTACTTAAAATGGCGTTTTGAGTATAAAATTAAAATTAAAATAAAATAAAAGTTTGTAACCCAAAGTGCAAACATCTCTCAGAAGTAGAACACTCCACGCTGAACTCCACGCTGAACTCCATCGTCGTGCAGCCGTGCAGAACGCCGCAGAACGCCATCGCCGTGCAGAACGCCATCGCCGGGCAGCCGTGCAGCCTCCTCCTCCTCCTTCGTAGCCTCCTCCTCCATTTGTGACTAGTAAGTGTTTAACATATTTCTCTAGCAATTTTTTTTTTCAGTTCAATTTACTTGTTTGGGGAAAACCAACTTCTAATATTGTTGATGAATTTTTTCTTTTTTCCGCAATGTTCAGTTCTGATTCGTGAATTTTGAGATGATTTGTTGATTTCATTCCACGTCTCTAGCAATTTCAGACTTTTGACTGGTTGTATGACTGTTCAATTTCTAGTTTTCAGTTAGATTTGTGTTGTATGGCTGTTCAACTTTAGCATCTACTTAACCCAATGTTTGCTTCCATTTTTGTGTTTATTTTTCTCCTTAATTTTTGTTGCAATATGTTCTGTTTACTGGTATGACTTGAGTGATTCAAGATGGCGAAATGGGTGTATTATGATACTGGGTCTTAGGCGAAGTGTGACACTTTTTTGTTTTAACATGGGTGTATTATGATATTCGGTGTTGTTCTAAGGATGTTGTGGAAGTTTCTCAGTGGATACACTAAGAATGATTTTTTTAAAGTTTAAAGTTTGCCTAATAAACTGTGATTGAAATCCTAAGTTAATGTTTAATGCACACCATTATCCTATGGTAAGAACTCAATAATAGTTGATTTTCTTGCTTCTTTCATGTAAACTGAATAAGGTGGGGAGTGTTAAACATAAATTAGCAAAATTATTTGAAGAATCTCTTAGAGCAGCGTTTCCTGATGAATCGTATGTACAACCAATGATGGCTATTTGCAACAATCCCAAATTTGGAGACTATCAATGGTATGGTTTACATTCTTATTTCATTATAGGTTTCCTGTCTTTTATCTTTTATATTGAAAAGAGTGCATGCATTTGAAGTTTTAGTACCAGTTGAGAGTTGAACTATGTTCTCTCTTAGTGCTTGGGGTGTTTTATGCTATTTATATTCTAAAATTTCTGATTAAGCAAGTATTATTTTTATTAGTAACAATGTCATGAGCTTATGGGCTTAAAATTAAAGGGAAGGGTACTCAGTTCAAGGGTCCTCAACTTGTTGGACAGGTAATGGCATTGATTTTTGTTGTGCTTATCACAATTCTGTTTCAACCAACACAGTGGACATCAATATCCTTAGACAATCAAATGGTTTCTCATTTTCAGGCTATTATGAACAATCTTCCTCCATAAGAGAATATGGTTTTAAATTTTGTTTCTATTCTATTTGAAATTAATTCTGAGTTTTAATATGGTTTTGTAGTTTGGTATGCTAATTGAATACCTTTTTGAAAAATTTCCAAACTGGGAAGCCGCTAGTCCTCATGCTATTGGAGACTTAGAGGTAAGTGGTGATACTTTGGTTAGTTTGTTCTGTTTCTAGCTGATTGACTATGATTTATAATGCCAGAAACTTCCTTTATTGATTTGATAGATTTGATAAGGCTTTCAAACCATATTTTTGAATACACAAAAATGAACTGAAGATTTCTACTGTCCCAAATAAAGTCCTATTTTTTTTGTTCCTGGTTTTTGTTTGTTTTTTGTTTTAATAAAGTTCATTAGCTAAGATCTGATGTATATTACCATATTTCTTCTAACTATTTAACATCCCAATCAAGATTCCAGCTTTGCTTACATATGTACAACCAGATCCGATAATTATCAGTGTATTTAATGAGCACGACATTAATCAAAGAAAAATGATAGTGATCCTTTAACCACGCTAACCTTTTTAGGCATTTTATAAGGCTTTAAAAACAAGGATTTGATAGTGATCCTGATTTCAAGGAGAGGGCACAAAATGCTGTAGTCAGTCTTCAGCTGAACTTTTTACTTATTTTAAACAGTTGAATGGTCTAAACTCAATAGATACATCATATTATTGAAAGAGCTTGGCAGCTTGCAGAAACTGCTGAATAAGCATTCCTTTCTCCCAACAGAGAAGGAACTCTCTTAGTATTACATTAGGCACAGATGGTTTCTGTATTTTTCATAACTGTGACCACACAAGTCAACTTGTTATTCTTTTATTAATTGAAAGATTGTTTCAACTTTCCTACTATGCAGTTAGAGATTTATTTTGGTAATGGTTCTTGTGTTGCATTCTTTCTTTGTAACTAGGGCGGGGAGGAGAAGTACACAAAAGCATGGTCACAGATTTTTGAAATTAGTCGAAGAGAATTTGGAAAGAAGGTTTATCAGCGACTTGGAGTACACTTGCCTAAGTTCAAAGGGTTAACTACTACAGTGACTGCTACGTAGGATAAATGAGCATTGGATATTGTTTTTTAGTTTACTATTTCTTGGTTATAGATTTTCATTACATGTATAGCGATTTGTTGTCCAGACTTTAATTGATTATTATTAGTTGCTAAATGTGGATTGGTGATGTATTATTATTAGTTACTAAATGTTGATTAATAATATTTTAGAATTATGTTATTTTTTTAGAATTAATTGTGTTTTAGTATGTTATTTTAGTTTTATATTAATATTTTAAAAGTTTATATTACTATTCAAAAATAATAATTATAAACAATTTTTTTTAAAAAAAATAATTAAAAATGTGACAATTGCGATAGAATATAAGTTTTGCGACGGAATTACGACGGAAAAGAAATATGGCGACGGAATATTTGTTTTTAAAATGGCGACGGAAAGAATAATTTCCGTTGTCAAAATGCGACGGAATTGCGACGGAACAATTCCGTCGTAAATTTGCGACGCCTTATTCCGTTGCCAATTCTGTCGCCATATTTTGCGACGGAATTATTCCGTCGCGAATAAAAATACGACAAGCTGATAGACGACGGAACAGATTCCGTCGCAAAACGTGATTCGCGACGGAATTTAGCTGTTTTGCGATGGAATTTTTCCGTCGCGATTCGCGATTTTTCTTGTAGTGCTTCCCAATAAAATATATTGATTTCTACTTTCTCATTCGTACAATAATTCTGGGTTAAAGTTCTATTCTAAAATTTTAAAATAGTGTAATACAATTCCCTTTGTACATCTATACTATATATTATAACAAAATCCTGGAATTTTAACTTTTCGCCCAATTCCTAAAAAATCTCTCTTCCCCATAAAATATATTGATTTCTACTTTCTCATTCGTGCAATAATTCTGGGTTAAAGTTCGATTTTAAAATTTAAAATAGTGTAATACAATTCCCTTGTACATCTATACTATATATAATAACAAAATCCTTGAATTTTAATTTCTCGCCCAATTCCTAAAAAATCTCTCTTCCCAATAAAATATTTTGATTTCTACATTCCCATTCGTACAATAATTCTGGTTTAAAGTTCTATTCTAAAATTTTAAAATAGTGTAATACAATTCCCTTTGTACATCTATACTATATACTAGTTTTTTTACGCGCTTTGCGCGAACGTGATAATGCCGAATAATTATTTTTAAATAACTATTTCAAAGTATATCAATGCAATTTTATATAGGAGATGTTCATGCATAGGTAAAAAAATGTTGAATTTGTTTATTTAAATTGGTAATTCAAAGTATATAAATGCAAGATAATATATGAGAGATTGATTATAATTGTCACTAAAATAATATTTGCAACTTTGTAATAGGGCTAGTCTAAAATATATCTAAAAATGATAGTTTAAATAAATACTATTTTTTTGTTTAAATTTCTCTAATTTTTCTTACTTCTCTATTATGTAGCATTGTCATTGCTGTCATCTTCAATACATGTTTTTTTTTTAATTGGTAGTGTGTCATGTGCACGCAATTAGGTTACTGGTGGAATCATAGAGGATTCATCGTGCAATGAGATTATGATATAGGAAGCTCTAGATTTGCCTTTTTGTACTATGAACTCTTTATCTTACAAGCACATATTGATATTTGGTAGTGGTAGTTTTTTCCCTACATGTTTTAAGCATTGTGAGATTTGTGTCGTAGGTTATCATTTGAAAGTATTGAACAAAATATTAATATTTATAAAGTAATGTACAATTGTATCATTATAAAAAACACATACAAAAAATATTAATACCATAACGACCTAAATCATTCCAATAATGCAAATTAAAAATATAATTGAAATATTAAGTTTTGTTCTAAATAATCAAAATAAGATTAATTAAACGAAAAAAAAAAAAAAAAAAAACTTAACCTAAATTTGATTTTTTTTAAGCATAAAAATCAAATTACTTTTAAAGTTTCTGATTTATAATCTTTGAATGCTATGTATTTAGTCGGACTAATTATTTGACCAAAGTTTATGTTAAATTTTATATTATATATATATATATATATATATATATATATATATATATATATATATATATATATATTTTAATTGGGATGTGGTTCGAACCTAAGATCTTTATTATAGAAATTCATGAGTAAGTTAAAAATAATAAATAGTTAACGAAATATTCCGTTACTAAAGTTTATACTAACGGAATTTAAGTTATTTAAGGAAAGAATATAATATAATAGAAAGTAAATAAGAAAACTCATTAAAAAAATACTAAAATCAAAATAATATGAACCATTCATTTTAAGAAACAATTATATGAATATTTTTTTTGTTTCACTTAAGGGCCTAACATTATTGGCTCTTACTAAAATTGTAGATAATAACAAAATCCTGGAATTTTAACTTCCGGCCCAATTCCTAAAAAATCTCTCTTCCCAATAAAATATATTGATTTCTACTTTTCCATTCGTACAATAATTCTGTGTTAATGTTCTATTCTAAAATTTTAAAATAGTGCAAAACAATTCCCTTTGACATCTATCTATATACTATATATAATAACAAAATCCTGGAATTTTAACTTCCCGCCCAATTCCTAAAAAATCTCTCTTCCCAATAAAATATATTGATTTCTACTTTCCCATTCGTACAATAATTCTGGGTTAAAGTTCTATTCTAAAATTTTAAAATAGTGTAATACAATTCCCTTTGTACATCTATACTATATATAATAACAAAATCCTGGAATTTTAACTTCCCGCCCAATTCCTAAAAAATCTTTCTTCTCAATAAAATATATTGATTTCTACTTTCCCATTCGTACAATAATTCTGGGTTAAAGTTCTATTCTAAAATTTTAAAATAGTGTAATACAATTGCCTTTGTACATCTATACTATATATAATAACAAAATCCTGGAATTTTATCTTCCCGCCCAATTCCTAAAAAATCTCTCTTCCCAATAAAATATATTGATTTCTACTTTCCCATTCGTACAATAATTATGGGTTAAAGTTGTGATGTGTCAAAAGTTCGGCAAGGCTGACTCGGTTTTCCATTTTGGACAAATGTTTTTTTTCGAGATCTATCCACCGCAAACTGCCGAGGCGGTTTGGCCCACCAATTTCTAAAAAAAAAATGCTTTATTAAATAGTTTCTAAGAAAAAAAAACTATGAGAACCTTATGTTTTATTAATGAATTTTTAAATTTTTTAATTAAAAATTGTCCCGTGCATTATTTGATAATCTCTCTTTATAATTGGTCAAATTATTTAATTATGGTAAATTAGGGAATAATTAATGATGGTAATAAAAATCCTAGAAGAATATTAGAATTGAGGAATATTTAATTATTTTTATATTATTATTGTGACTCACGGAATACAATACAAGAATATTTAATTATGGTTATATTATTATTGTGTGCCTCACGGCCATTATATACTAACAAAACTTGAAAAGAAACTAAGGGTCCGTTTGGAAAACAGGAAAATGACTTCTGGAAAATGACTCATTTTCCAGAAGTCATTTTCCTTTCCTGTGTTTGGCTGAACAATGGAAAACTGTCTTTTGGTGTTTGGTTCATTTTCCAGAAAATGAACAGAATGGTATAGTTAAACATTTTAATTGTTATTCGATAAATATATTTTTATTGGTTTTTGTATAATATAACAATTTTTATTTTTTTTCAAATTCCATGCTACATAAATTTTAGTTGTATTTAATTCGAATGTCTTTGCTCTCAATCTATCTTTCTAGTATTAAAACTATTGTCATAATATGGCAATTTGAAACCACAATTACATGTTAGAAACAACAGAATCAACAAAATCAAGTCTTGAACAACACAATTACACGATTTCTATCCATCTATACACAAAATAATAATAATAATAATAATATGATAACAAATAACCACAATTAAAACTAACATATATGTCATAACCACACAATAAGCCGCAACCAAAGTGTATTATAAGCAGCAACCAATATACAAGTTCTTCACTGGTTATATATATATATATATATATATATATATATATATATATATATATATGTATGTATGTATGTATGTATGTATGTATGTATGTATGTATGTATGTATGTATGTATGTATGTATGTATGTATGTATGTATGTATGTATGTATGCACAATGAAACCAGAAATCCAGAAACCTTCCATCTCAAAGCCAGAATAGCTGTGTTTAAGTTCTTGTACAATCAAATCTACTGGTATGGTATTGAAAAAAAACTATGTAGCAATCAAGTCTACTGGCATGGCAACATAATATCCAATATATGTCTTCTTCACTGGTTTCCCAGCCGGAAACCAGCTCAATCACTGGTTTCCGCATCGGAAACCACACTGGTTTCCGATGCGAAAACCAGTGAGTGAGTTGGTTTCGCATCAGAAACCAGTTCTCTGGTTTCGGATGCGGAAATCAGAGGCACTGGTTTCCTCGGCCGGAAACCACCGGTTTCCGGCCGGGGAAACCAGTGAAGAAAAAAAAATTCGGAGAAAATAGATCTATAAAATTCAGAGAAAAAAAATCAAACTAGAAAGAGATGAAATATACCTCTGTAGCTTTTCTAGTGTTGTTGAAGCTTTTGTGGTTGTGGATTGTTGGAGGAGGAAGTGTTGGTGGAGTTGTGTTGCTAATGTTGAAGGAGGAGGCAAAGTTGAAGTGCTGAAGACGGGAAGAAGAAGTGAAGTACACGTGCGTGGATGGAAAATGACTTCCCCAAAAAAAAGGGGAAGTCATTTTCCGAAAAATTGCCTTCCTTTTCCATGGACTTTTCCTTATTTTTCTTTGACCAGCCATTTTCCAATGTAGCCAAACACCAAAAATCTGGGAAATGATTTCCAGAAATCATTTTCCGAGTTTCCAAACAGACCCTAATAATAATAATAATAATAATAATAATAATAATAATAATAATAATAATAATAATAATAATAATAATAATAATAATAATAATAATATATGTGGTAAAAATAATATTTAAAAGTAATTAAGTGTTAATAATAATACTAAGAATATTAACGGGTAAGAATTATAATATAGAATAAATCGTAATAATTAATAACTATAGTCTAGGATTAAATTTGGAATTGTCAGGAAAGATAAGCGACCTCTGGTGAAATTAACTCTTTATCAATTTAAATATTCTTAATATATTACAACAATTCCATTCCGTGCATCGCACGGGTGGAAATA